GAAGGAAGGAAGGAAGGAAGGAAGGAAGGAAGGAAGGAAGGAAGGAAACCATGGGGCAAAATCTCACTTAACCAATGTCTTACTTAACAACATTAGCATTGGGGCTCAACTGTGGTCATTAAACCGAACAACTACCTGTATTTCGCCTCCCTTTTCTGGCTCTTTTAGGCATTAAGTCCGCTTTCCTCTCATCACGCTAGAATCAACTGCCTTTACATTTTCCGCCGTGCCGTTAATTTTTCCCTTATTAAAAAGAGAGGAACCGCCGTCAATTTCTCTCTCATCCACGCACACCCAAGGGCTGCAGGCACTTTAATTAATGCAACAGGAAAAAAAAAAAAGCATTGCAGGCACAGAGGGTGGTTGTACGCCCCGCCGCAGCCAAGGGAGAAGCTGCGGCACTTAAAAATCCACCCACAATCTTTTTCCTTGGAGGAAAATGTCCGCGAAGGTGCAGGAGGGAATGGGACATTTATAGGTTTTGAAAAGTCAGGTGCAGGCAGCCATCTCAGGATATAACGAGGGGTTTAAAATAGGATAGGGTGTGAAAGGTGAACGGGAGGTGTGCCAAGGAAAGGAGCCGACGGTTGGATAGACGCTGCAGACGCACGTGGAGTAAATCAAAATGTTTGGCCTTGGATGCCAGCCGGAGTAAATACGGGTCACATCTCTTTCCTACGGGAGAAAAGAGGCCATTTGTCACACACACACTGGGGTGTTGCTTTCTTTTTGCCTGCCTCTTACTCAAGCGCTATGCCACCCGCGTGGTGGAAGTCAGGACACACTCTTTCTCCCCTCGGAAGGACGGAAGGCTGAGTCAACCTTGAGTCGGTTGGGGTCGAACTCCTGGCAGTGGGCAGACTTAGTCTGCAGTGTTGCATTCTACCCACTGCACACCATGGAAGAAAGGGAAGGGAAGGGAAGGGAAGGGGAAGGGAAGGGAAGGGGAAGGGAATGAAAATAGCAAGAGCCCTTAGACTTACATACCGCTTCTTCCCAGCGCTTTCCAGCCCCCTCTAAGAGCTTGACAGAGTCAGCCTCCTGTCCCCAACAATCTGGCTCCTCATTTTACCCACCTTGGAAGGAGGGACGGTTGAGTTGACTTTGAACCTGGTGTGGGATTCGATCTGCCATAATTGCAGTAGGAGTAGCTTGCAGTCCTGCACTCTAACCGCTGTGCCACTGAGACACTAACATCCGTGCAATTACGCAGGGTGCAAATGGATGGGCGTCCGAAAGCGCCAAAGAGCCAGAAAAGATATGCGTGCGGTTTAAAAACCAATTCTGGGTTTCTAGCCCTCTTGACTGCTGCGCCGGGAAGTTAAAAGGCAACCCTGCCTTAATGACAAGGGCTGAATGATACAGCCGGGACTAGAGGTTAAGAAATTGGCAAAAACTGACCCGAATGGGGAGAAGCGGTAGGAACCTTCCCTGAATTTGGTTAATAAGATTTAGAGCCTATTTTCATGTCTAAGGCGGGACTAGAACTCCCCGTCTCCTGGTGATTGGCCCAAAGTCA